GACTGTGCCCGGGCACACAGCCCCCTGACATACCGACTGTGCCCGGGCACACAGCACCCTGACATACCGACTGCGCCCGGGCACACAGCACCCTGACATACCGACTGCGCCCGGGCACACAGCACCCTGACATACCAACTGCGCCCGGGCACACAGCACCCTGACATACCGATTGCGCCCGGGCAGACAGCACTCAGGCACCCAGCTCATGCTCAGTGTCTTGGGTCGGGTACTGCAGAAGCAAGCTCTCAGGTGGGCGCCAGCAGCCCGGTGAAGTGATGCTGGCACTGGCAGGTGAACACCTGGCTGCGGTGCACTGAAAAGGCAAGCGACAAAGGGAAATGGCAGGGCACCGGGACGCCTCCACATCAGTGAGCGCTGGTTGAAGCCCAGCCTGTGACAGCTGCTGAGTGTCTGGACGAGATGGTCCTACCAACTAGCACCAAAGGAAAGAGGCTGAAGCCGCTCTGCCCAGCTCCTCCAGGCGGCTCCCGTCCTCGTCGCCCCCTCCCCGTCATGCTTCTCTCCATGTGACAGCTCCTGGCTTCTGCTGTCAAGCCCGTCATAGCCAGGTTTCCATGGGGTGGACAGAGGGAGGAGGGGGGACCGCCTTTCCCTAAAACAAAACACCAAGTTCCCCTGGCCGAGCAGACGGGACCTCGAAGGGAGCCAGTGGGTCCCCGGTTCTGTCCCCAATCTTCTTCCAACATTGGCAGCAGGGCTTTATAGCAGCACGGTCTGTGATATTGACTTGTGTGCTAAGACCAATATTTTAAAAACTATTCGTATGCATTGTACATGGAGAAAGTAAATAGTGTTTGTGAAGCTTTGTTTAGGGGGATGATGTTTGAGTGTCAGGGTTGCCAACACTGCTCACTAGCCACCCTCACTCTTCTCTTGCTTTGCACGTTCACTTGTCCGTGCGCACAGAGGCTCTGTGAGCTGGGCGCTGGCATCCCCTCCATCCCACAGCTGAGGAAACTGACGTGCAGGGAGGTTAACTGCACATGGTCAGCTGGGAGCTTGGAGTCAGCTGGCTCCATGCTCCAGGTTGAATGTACCCAGATAGGCCCCTCCCTTCTCTGAACCTCCGTTTCCTTGTCTGTCAGTAGGTGTAACCCCAGGGACTTCCCAACAAGGACGCCGTGAGCGGTCAGCAGGGCACACACTCGAGGATGGGCACTGCTGCTTTAGACCCCCCTGCAGCACTGCCCTGTGCCCCGCCTCCTGGACCCCAGTGGCAGACAGGGCGAGGCCTCTGGGCTGAGCCAGTATCAGCAAGCACATTCAAAAAAAATTTACAGAACACAAAGAGAAAGGACATAGGAACAGCCGGAGTCCCAATTCCCCTAACTCTCCAGGCACACGTGGTGGTTATGAAGAGCCCACCACGTCCTCGGGAGCAGCAGACCCTGCACATCAGTGCAGCTGGCCTCTGGCCAGGGAGGCCACTTCTCCCCACACCCGTCCTCATAGCTGCTCCTCATCACATCGACTCCAGTGCCATCGCTCCCCTCCCTCGAGGCTGCTCTGCTTCTGCATCTGGCTTCATTCATAAGCAAATGCCAACTCACGCAGATCCAGAGCTCCTAGTCAGCAGAAAGCTCTGGGCAAATATCAGCAATCATTAATAATCATTAATGAGAATTATAATGGGCAGGTCTCTCTTGAGAGTGGGCACCCAGTGGGCACAGAGAGCTGTGGCTGACCGCCCCCCACCCCCACACCCTCCAGGTCTTTAACACAGTCTGGGCTGTGGCTGCTTCTGTGTGGTTGGGACAGTCCATGTGGTTCTGGGACAGACCTGTCTCCTCTACAAGGTGTGGCTCTGATGGACAGGTGGCAATAGTGTTTCCAAGTTTAGGGTGTGGCTGGGTGAGCTGGTATCTAGAATTGGCTAGCATCCCATCTTTCTCTAAGCTTTGCAAGGAAGACGCATGAACTGGGGGGGTCTGTGTGGTCAATGTGAGCCCTGGCTCCTCCTCTTTCAAGCTGTGGGACCCTGGACCAGTCACCTCCTGCTCTGAATCTGTTTCTCAGTTTTCTCATCCGCAAAATAGGCATAACAGTGCTAACCTCACAGGCCGTTATGGGGCTTACATGGACTAACATGTGGTGCAGGCAGTTCAACCGATACAGAGGGGTCACAGGTTTCTGTTGCAACCCCAGCCCTGTTGCGTTGGCCAGGCCTGCCCAGGGAATGACAAGCAAATGCATGCGGTCCTGGTGGTGATGCCGAGGGGTGTGGGGCCCTGAAGCTATAAAATGCCTGGGAGCAGAGGTCCTTCCTGAACTGCGCCTCTGGCCATGGTGCTGGACCGTGGGAAATGTGGGCAATGCTGCTGCCCTACCCAGGCGCCCCATCCAACCATTCCAGGCAGCTTGAGCCAGGTGAGAGGCAAGAAAGTTTCAGGAAGGATGGGAGAGCAGGGGAAATACCGAGAGCCAGAAGGAGAACAGGAAAGAGAGACACAGAGAGATAGTGGCAGAGAGAGATCTAGATAGTGGCAGAGACAGAGAGATAGTATCAGAGAGCGACATAGAGAGATAGTGGCAGAGAGTGACATAGAGAGATAGTACCAGAGAGAGACATAGAGAGATAGTACCAGAGAGAGACATAGACAGATAGTGGCAGAGACAGACAGACAGAGGTGGGCTGAGAATCAGACAAGGGGGCCGTCAGTGACTTGTCACCAGGACAGAAGAAGAACTCCTGTGTTGATGTCACTTTTCAGCAGTCGTGGTTCCTCTGGAGGATATATTTCATATGGTTCTTGCCACAATTCTCCTTCCAGGTGCTCCACGCGTGGTCTCCCAGCAGGTCTGTGCGAGAATCCCACAGAGCTCAGATGGAGAAGCAGACCCATTGGGCATGTGTGTGCGTGTGTGCGCATGCACGGTGTGTTGTTGGAGGTGTGTGTGTGTGTGTGTGTGTGTGTGTGTGTGTGTGTAAATATAAGATATAAGATATATATGGATTCATGACAGTGAGTTGACTAAGTTTGGCATCTTGTTAAACAGCTACTTAGGGCTGTTGTCTGAAGAAAGGTCTCTGAGAAGTGGGGGAAGGAGAGCACACACCATCCCAAATGTGAGCTGGAACCCCAGGAGGACAGCCCCAGGTCTCATGCTTGTGCCTGTGACCTGAGAGTGGGGAGGCCCCTCAGGGAATGCTTGGCCCAGGGAGGGAACGTGGGGCAGCCCATTTTCCAGCCCCACTGCTCCCAGCCCCGGGCCCCTGCCAGTCCCCAGGGGGCGTTGGTGGGACCACAGTGGTCCGTGGCAGGCCCGGCTCCATCTCTTCATCCCCACCCAGGCCAAGCCTCCAGCCCAGAGAGACGTGGAGAGATTCTCAGATCAGGAAACCACTGGGGAGAGCTTTAAAAAATGCAATTAGAGGGAAAATAATTAAATCCAATTAAAAACAAGCCATGAGGGGAATTCTGGGGACTCCTGGCCGGCTGCTATTTTCTACTGCTTTTCCACTGAACGCCCAGCCACTCCACCCGCCCTTGGCAGCCTTCCCAGTGCTCGCCGGCGGGACTTTTAAGGTGGAACAAAAGAGGTCAGGCACCCACAACACCTGCGTTTCACTGTCCATGTCCTGCCCCCCACTGT